ATTAGTGGTATATGACTTGGGCCAAACAAATATCTTTATGGCAGCTCATACTGAGTTATCCCAAGAAAGGGCCCCTCTAGTCAATGTAATGATAAAGACATAATGATATGATGAATGGTCATTTTACCATTAAGAACACCACATGAGTGATAAGGGGTCCTTCCACACTTCATTATAGATAAAGTAAAATCTAGAAAGTCACCTTTCGTAAAGCCAATAAGTTACTGAATCTATATTTAGATATGACAATGCACTCTCCTAATTCAATCTCCTTTATTTTATTTACTCTAGGATAAGAAGTTGCATTAGACCATCTTCTAAAAAGTGGAGATAATCAATCCAAGCCTTATAATTCATTTATTCAGTATCAGTGATATCAGAGCTAAACTTGTCTCTCACAGTGTGAAGTCAAATATTATTGGTATAGTCAGTGAAATATTTAGCCAGAAAATTTCTTAAACCAGATCCTAATAAGTGTTTCCCTGAACAAAATATGTTAAATAGAATTTATAATTTAAACCACAAACCTGTTTCAGGCTCAATGGAAAAATACGGCTGTCCTTCCAAGATACCGTAAACCAACTTTGCACTGTTTCCATAAACTGGGTCATCAGCATCCTTGGCTGTTACATTAGTGACAGATGTACCTAATTAAAAAAAAAAAGTGAAAGTGGTAAGAATTTACACATTATTTTTTGCCAAGTGCTAGGATTTTGTCAATTATATCCTATATTAAACTTATAGCAGGTAAATATAGGTAAATAGGTAGATAAGGTAGGTAGATAGATAGGGATTGATTGATAGAGATATACATCCCCTTTATAAGATAAAAGTAATCAGCTTGGTCAGAACTTCAACAACTGGAAATTCTTTTGTAAGAAGCAGTACTTTGAGATTGAAATAGCAGATTATGATGGCACTTTTAGTTTCTATTATTTAAGATGTCTTGTAGTTTTCATTTTTAATGGTTTTTATTAGAGTTGTGGGGGTTTAAGGGGTATGCAAAGGAATCATATCAAAGAAACATGAAACAAAAGTTTAATAATATAATATAGCATGAAGCACTTGAGTATTGTCAAAGTATAACTGAATGTGCCTTGAAACTTTGACTACTGTAAAAAGAAGTACATAAATATCAAAAGGAATATTTTTATTCCATCACATTTAATTCTCTCAGAATATAAGATGAGATAGGAACCACCAATTAATCAGCAGGCTCAGGTAATTAGACCTGTGGATAACAGAATGAAAAACCTCTTTGCACATTAATCTTTTGTGTTTTATAACAACTGTACACATAGAGCTTGTCTGGATGGCAGTATATATGCCTATACAAAATCCCACCTGTACTAAAGAAGCTTAAAGTTTATGGTGGGGAAGAAGAGAAGGAAATAGACAAATTAACTTAGTTACTCAGGTGAATGCAAGTGCTGCAAACCATGTGCCTTCTTTGGTCTGCCACAAACAGAATGGCCCTGGATGTGTTTCAAAAACAGATTGCACTGAAACTCAATGTTAAAGAAATGTCAAGTTTCTAAAAAAAATGAATGCATAAAAATTAGCACAAGAATTATTCAATCATAAATAAAGACAATGATCATTGAATAGTCTTATGACCTCTGAAACAGTAGAGAACATAGGGAGTCTGGTGTGACTAGAATCCACAGTAGATAGGGCGAGGACAATATTATTCTCTTCAATTAAAAAGTCATTCATATAGTAGTTAGTTACCATATGTCTATTAATTAAGTGGCTATATGGAAGAATGTGTTACCTCATGATTTATTGAAAAAAGCAGTGTCACAGATCATTCTGTGTTGAAAATTCAGTACATTTACTGGAGGGTGTCCTTTGTCAACCTCTGAGGGGAATAAGTCAAAGCAGATGTCTATAAGATGCCAGGAAATATCAACAATGGCTGTTATATGATGCTGTGAAGCAAGATACTCAGAACTGGAGCAACTTATTGAGAAATGGGGCCAGACTTTCATATTGTAAGATTGAAGAAGTAGGAGATGGAAATGGCCCATGAGGAATGGAACTTTGGCCTTGAGCCAGACAGGGTGTTTAGCCAAGGGCAACTACAAAGTGGTGTCTGGGATTACTGAGCTTTGAACTCTCTGTTGATAATGTGTCCAGCATAGAGTGAAAGAGGATTTTAATCCTGAAGGAGATAAAGGGTACATCTGAGGAGTATATCTTTGTAGTGATTGAAATAGAATTGAGTTCTTGCAAGATCCTGTCAATCAAAGTGTTTTGGATATGCTTTCAATTGCGGTCACTGCTCAGAAAAATGTAATATTTGTTGTGTAGTTGATAACTGTATAAAATTGAAATTTATAACTCATAATGCTGTTCCTCCCTAGTGGCGGACATGGTTCCTGTGTAAAATGGCTACTGAAGAATTATGTCACTTTGGCTCTTTATCTTCATCCAGGGAGAACACATTGTAGTTTTACTGCTCAGAAGAGACAACATGAGGTGTTCTAACCACAAAGAACCTCATCTCCATTTATACGAGAATTATTTATATGTTTTAAAATTCCACTTTAGTTTTGAGAGTACATAAAAATTTTAAGGAAGATATACATTAACTATTATGTAGTCTGCAAAATTAGTTCAAAAAAGGAAATAACAATGGCTGGAGAAAGAAGTACTCCAAGATTTATTTAAAGGGCTGACAAGTGGAAAAATCTGCAGAAAGACACAGGGAAAATTGTTCTTTGCTTTGTGGTTCAGAGTGTCCCACTTTCATTTTTTAGCAAAAGACATTGTTTTCCTACTGTGTAGTAATAAACTGACATGAAAATATATTGAAATGTAATGCTCACTATGATACTGTGGTAGTAAGTCCAGTCACTATTTAAGCATGGGGGAAACAGAGTGAAAAATCAAATATTGTTTCTACTGTCATCAAAATTATCTTCTATTTCCTGAATTGATTCTTTAAATAACAGATATATTGGTAGATAAATAAATATCTAAATATTTTCTGGAAGGTTTTTGCACACAGAATGGACTAACATGTTCTCAAACGTATTCCCATATCTTCAGGCAAATCATTTAGCCTGACTCAGTTTCAGAGTATAGATAGATAGATAGATAGATAGATAGATAGATAGATAGATAGATAGATAGATACATACATAGATAGATACATAGATAGATACATAGATAGATACATAGATATATATACATACAATATTGGAGGGTGAAGCCAAATAGATAACCCAGAAATTATAACATGCTAAATCTAGAGAATAAATCTATGCCTCTAGTCTACAAGCTTCAAAATATGATCTTAAGGTCCCATCCAGAATGATATGATACAGACAGTGGTAGAATATTACTTTAAATATTCTCAGGCATTTATAATGTGAAGCCATGTTTCAAGATGTACACTAGGACCAAACTTTTCACAACTGACTCACTCCATTTTTGTGTTGGTACCTTAATTTCTGTTATGATTATTTTGAGAAGGAAAAGTGACTTTCAGATTTGTTTGTAAAACTTAGTTTATTAAGCTATTCTCTTGGGGGAAATGAAACATGCAACCATTTCTCATAGAAAAGAAGATGAGACTATGTACTTGGCAGTTTGCTATTTCCAAGATAGTCTCCATGATGTCTTCTCCTGTGTCTATTGCCATGTGATCCAATTTCATTGTAGAGGCTTCATATCGCAGGCCTGGTGCAAGAGAGATTGGCTTAGCAGATCCATAGTACAGCTTTCTCATAGGTCAAAAATTTGGCAGACCTCAAAATCTTATACAGAACTCTGGCTGAAAGAATACAATTTTTGAAGTCACACTATCATGAACCAGAACACAAATTTCATTTCCTGTGTCTTATATTTTTTTTTCAAATTCTCTGCATTTAGCCAAATACCTGAATCTTTTCTACCCCTTGGCATCATTGTCTTTTTATCAAAGTTCATAGTCATTGTTAAAATGCAGACATGTTCAGATAATTCAGGGAAATAATTCATGTAAACACTAGGAAAAATTTACTGAAAATTTTTCTAGAAGCTTACTGTCCTTCTCACTTATGTGTATTTTTATTTGCACAAAAGTAAAACTGAATACAAAGTTTGACAATTTTCAGTGGTAGTAAATGTTTAATTTGTGAGTCATTTTTCTTAACTTTACCACTAATAGGTTTGCATATATCTTGGGGAATAAAAAAGATTGTAAAATCAATAATATTGAGGTAAAGGGGGAAATATAATCTAGTGTTCCATGTCACAGATGGTTCATGTAAATAAGAACAAGATTGTATGTCTCAAAGTAGAAGAATAGGTTTTAAATTTATGCACTATAAAGATATAATAAGGTAGTATATATATTAATAATTGTCAGTTGATCATCTCACAATAGATACATGGATCTATGTCAACCAAAAATAAAACGTGTGTGTGTGTATGCATATGAAGAAACTGATTTCATTTTTAAAATTGCCAAAAGAAAAAAAAAAAGAAAAAGAAATCCCTCATACATTGTGTGTAACCTTACATTCATCAACACATGACCTCTGTCCAATCTATTTCACATCGGTTTCTGCTTCAGGGTAAATTGCTCTTGGGTCTAAAAGAGAAAAGTGTTTAATGTAGTGAGCACAAAGAGAGGCATCGGGCACTGGACAATACAAGTTTTCTGCTGCTACTTGAATAGAAGGCATATTCCATGATCATGCAAATACTATGTGACTGAAGATGAGCTACTGGGCCAACAGTGCTAAGACTAGCTTTTGCCCAGAAACTCATCCAAAATATATCTGCCTGATGTCTGGTTTCCAGAAATCCACATCCTTTGATATTAGGCATTTGGAAGGGAAAAGGTAGCACTTCTTTCTGTCATGAATGACATTTCTCCTTAGGGATTTAGGACTGCTGATACACCTGTACACTGCAGTAGATGTGTGGGGAGGTTTTATGGATGTATTTGTCAAGTGATTATCCAGAAGAAAGAAAATAGACACTGGAGTTAATCTTGCAGCAGAAAAGATTCAAACCAAGCGGCAGTCTTGGCTTCTCCATGGAAATGCATGCAGAATGCAGAGCACTGACGGAAATTGAAAAGTGTAAACCTTGCAGGATAATTTTTCTTCAAAGCAGCAAGTGTTTGGTGTGTGATAAATGGGACCCTGAGTAATACCCAGGAAATATAACAACCAGGATTCTCTGTTTGTGTTTTCATTTGGAACTGTTTCTGTCCCTTTGTCAAGGATACAAGAGACCCATTTAGCTAGTGACTATAAATTTGACACTGTGCCATTTCCCTAAGAAAGCCCCTATTATAATTCAACTGGATGCTGACCCTAATTACTAATAATATAGCTGTTGTGTCTCCAGCTGTTGTCAACAAAAATGATCCCACATCTCTGCAATCCAGACTTATAGTATCAAGTCAAGTATGAGAAGACCATTCCAAGGTGATTTCTGTTTTTAACAAACATATTTTCTGAATTTAAATTCTTAGCTGAATGAAATGTGCCGTTATTCTGCACGGTTTTAATTACCAGAGAGCCTGCAGTTTTTACTACATCTTGCCCCACCAGAAACTTTCCTCCTATTAGCCACAGAACTATCATATCCTCTTCCAATCATGACAGCAAACACTACAAGCAAAATTAGCCATCAAAGATGTTAG